AAAAGATTGCTTCTCCAGAATCTTAGAATGTTAAAGGCAGATGAAATCTTGGAACTATTTTAGCCCCGTCCTTTTATTCTACATATGATAAAATTGCAAGAAACTAAGTGGTTTCTCCAGAATCACAAAACCAGAATCTGAACTATAGTTGACATTTACCTATTCTCCATTCTGATTCCCATGGCATTTTCAACTTTAATCCAAAAACTCAATGTTTTTCTCAAAGGAGACACTGTTCACAAAATAAAAATCTTAAAAGTGATACTGATTCATGTCACCCAGCCATGACTAGGTATAATTAAAATACATTAAGATACTTTTAACCATTAGTGACTTTTGCTTACCCTCTTATCTAGTCAACAGCTAATCTCAAATCTTATCACTGTAAATTTGGGTAATATATAGAAACTGATTACTTTTTTTTCCATAAAAGTATTGGTAAATATTAAAGATACTCAAATTCCCCAAAGAAATATCAATATCTGTCTTTTTTATAAAGAGGTTAAGAGAAAATAGTATGCTCTGTGAAGTATACTCTCAAGCATCATAAACTGAGATCATAAAACTCAGAAGCCATGGACAATACCCTTATTGTTGTCTACTCTTAGAAACACAAAATCGATCAATTTTTCCTCCCTATAGCCCTTCAATTATAAAGGAAATCATAGGTGTATGGATGCATAGGAAAATAGGAAAGTGAGAGAGAGAAATAGAGAGAAGATGAGAGATGAAAAGCCTGTCTAAGATAAACATATCTATTTTTCATAGCCTTCTACTGAGTGCAAAGAATAGTTCAGAGGCAAAAAAAATCCAAAACCAACAATGACAGCAGCAACAACAAAAATCATTGAGTAACAGTTATTAGCTAAAGAAATAAAAACAAATTAGTTTTTTATCTTTTAAGTTCACACGAGGATAAAATTTTATGAATTTTATGCTATCTTTGCATTAATTTTTTAATGCAGAAAACAATTTGGAATGAGATAGGAAATATGTATTAAATAAATTTTTCCCTTAGGCTCAATAGTTCTGAATATATTAATATATGAAGCGAAACAACAAATCTTTGGAAATTATTTCTATAACTCTATTTGGGCATCTATGTAGCCAACGAATATCACTAAGTTTTAAGTGGCATCATGTTCTGTTGCTTGGCTCTATTCTCTGTCATTTCGAGAAAGTCATATACCCTTTCTGAGTCTCAGTTAATTTATCCATAAAATGGAGATAACTGCCATTATTTTTCAAGGTTATTATAATAAGTAAATGTAAAGTTAGACGTGAAAACTTAGCATACTGTCTTATACCCAGGAACTCAAAACACGTTCACTGTGTCTGAATCTTTTTCACGTACCAAAAGACAGAGTTACCGACAGGTACCAGATATTTGTCACATCTTTGTGTCCTCGGTGAAAAAGAACTAGAATAAGAATTCAAGGTTCTAGATGCAAGGATCCGTTGTGTCACTAATTGCATATGTGACCTCAATTACTTCATCTACCTAGAACATAAGCCCTCACTAAGAGGTCTGTCCAAGAGAGAAGGATTTTGGTTTTGTTCATGCATTAGGCATCCAAGGCAGGTTGGCTGGATGACTGACTCAAACCATGCAAGGCATTGCAGTAAGTCATTGATTTAAGGTACTGGCTCAGAGCAGACACAAGAAGGGAATGCTCTGTAACTTACCATAGTTCCTTATTCTCTTGGATTTTCAGTTTCCTCAACAGTAAATGGCACAATGATGGCACTTCACATTTTAAGGTTGTTTGAGGATTCAGTGGGATAATATATCAAAAGTACTTTGAATGTTTCCTGCCTCATAATAAATTCTTAAATGAGTGAGTTTAAAATTTTCATTATTATTACCACAGCCTTGGTATTCTAACATGCATGAATTCCTTTCCTGTGGTTTTTAAAAATGTGTGCCCACTTGTCAACACATTAATCGACTACATAATTTCTTTTTCTTATCCTGCCCC